AAAAAAAAAAAAAGCATGCTAAAGTGCTCCAAGATCGTACTTTAAGCAACAACAAAGCATCGCCCAAACTGTTCCATCCATTAAAAGTGTTCTTCACAAAGTCTGCATTTTCTTCCATAAACATGTCCTCTAGTATGCTGCTGTTGTAATATGGTGTAGCTCTAGAAGTGTCACCTTACAAAAAGCAAGCATTGTTATCCAAAAGCAGAAGAACAGAGTATTTAACAAAATAAAAATTTAAAGTTTGCTAAAATTCCAAATGGCAATAAACTGCTTCAAATTTGAAGCTTCTTACTTTGATTAAATGCACGAACATTATTTCGTGAAATGGACAACCTTGAGCCATCGAACACAGAAGAGGCAGTAGGTATTATCCTTATGAAAAACTCAGAGAGCTCCGCATGTTTTATAACTACATAGCCATTTGATTAGTGAGTTCTCGGCCCAGAATCAAAGGTTGATGATTTGCAACAAAACATGATCAAAATGACAGAAAGATAACAAACGCCATTGTTAGCTATAATAATTAAGGAAGCCAGAACTATGTAAATGAAAACCTGGATACAAATGAATAACAGGCTTCCTTGCCTCGTTCCGGAAAGTTCGCCATTCAATCTTCCGAACCAGAGGAGACGACTTCAAACTTTTCTCAACCACGCACAGATAAATGCACCTCTTAGCATGATATCTGTAGTTCAAGTAGTCCTTCTCATGGAAGCACTCCTGAAATTCAAGGAAAAAATAAACTTTAAACAATTCTTCGCAAAGAAGAACAAGGAGGTAAATAAAACGAAGAACAAAAAGAGAAGTATTATTGACCTTGGGCATACGGATTAATAAGTCGACGTTTACATCAGGCTTTGCAACGCATCCAATAGAGTAGCTGCCAGCGATCCGGATGGCTTCCGGGCTCTTGAAAATGAAGTTAACCTTATCGGAGGGCACACGTAGATCGCGGAGGAACCCGGCGGCGTATTCTGCGCGCGCTTCCTGAACGGGAATGTTGTTTATGTAGTCTATAATGGAAGACAAGGCGCGATCTATGGCATTGGAGGCCGACGGATCGAGCTGGAGGTCTTTCAAGAGCTCCCCAACTTTGAAATCCATGGACTCTGTCTCGGGCACCATAGCTGCTCCAAATTTCCTTCAAAGCTGTCGTTTTTTCACGCCGGTTACCGTCCTATTCAGTGAAGGCGATCCCCTCGTTGGCTTCCCAGCTAACCCTAATTGCGACTGTATCGCGAGGTGGTCATGCAGGCGATGGTTTT